GAATTATTTTAAAACGTATTCTTAGGACTTTTATCAGAGTATACAAAACCGATTGTAATGTCTATAAATAGTTGGTGATTTGTTTCTGGGCTGCCCTCTTCAACCTAGATTTCTTTTCATATCCTGATTAATTGAACTAAGTGGGATCTATCTACCTGCATGATTCCACTGACATGTTAACTAGTTGACTTAGTTGATTGCGTGTTTTATTATCAAGTCTTTTTAGCATTATCTTTACACATTGAGTCAGTGCACAAAGATTGTTGTTAACCGCTTGTGAACCCCATCTTGATACAGTCTCGTGCTTTCTTTCAACTTCCAGTGATACTCGTGCTTCCGCCTTAACACTGAGATCACAGGTGTCTGCCACCACACCCAAGTATTGCTTAGCATTATAATTTTTTAAGAAACATTTATTAAAAAGCAAATTGGAAGCATTTTAAGTGGCATTATTAAAAAGCTGTATTTAAAACATAGTTTTGCCTGGAGGTGGTGGTGGTGCATACCTTTAATCCCAGCACTCAGGAGGCAAAGGCAGGCGAATTTCTGAGTTCGAAGCCAGCCTATTCTGCAGAGTTCCAGGACAGGCTTCAAAGCTACACAGAAAAACCCTGTCTGGAGGAGGGAGGGGGCTATTTTTTAATTGGGCTCGCAACTATAGTTTTGGCTATTCAGGATGCTGAAAAATCCAGGATTAGTTGAACCCATGATGGGACCAATCTAGGTAATACAGAAAAGAAAGCCTTTTGTTGTTGCTTTTCCAAAAGACGTTGGTGCAGTTAGCTACCATTGTAGGAGCTGGAGAGATGCTCAGTATTTTAAGAGAGCACTTATTGCTCATACAGAATTTTGCCTCCCAGTGTCCATATGGGGGCTCACAAATCCAGGTCCTGTATGCTTGTGAATACACATGCACATAAATGACTTCATTTTATTCAAGATTGAACATTTCTCTGCACCAATTGAGTGACTTTTAAAGATTTCCAATGGACTCTGAACAAAAACAAAACTTAGAGGGCCCAAGTCCATGCTAGAATGGAACTTTGTAACCTTATCCATAAGCACTTGAAACACTGAAGCAATAAAAAAAATGTTGCAGAGTTTCGGAGAATGCATCTCTCAGTGTACATTTTTAATTGTAAGTTTTTAACAGCTTTTTTGTTTTAAGAATTTTGTGTGTGTGTGTTCATGAGTGAACACCATGTGTAGGTGCCCACAGACCAGAAGACGATGTCAAGTGCTAGATAGGTTAGTTCTCTATAAGAATAGCCAGTGCTCTTGATTGCTGAGCCATCTCTTCAGCCCTTTAGATTTTGTTAAAATACAGCACAACAGTTGAAAAGTGTGCTTCTGAGATTCCTTCATTTACAAGCGTATTCTTGGGGTTTCAGATGGCTTGCCTCTTAAGAGCACTTACAAGACCTAGGTTCCATTTCTACTCTGTGTACACTGTATTAGATGCTCACAACAGCCTGTAGCTGCAATTCCAGAGAATCTGATACCCTCTGCCTCTCTGAACACCTAGATGAATGGAGTATACGTAAGCTCATACAGGCACACATAAATGCACAGAATGCAGCAGGTATTTTGAACTCTGCTGAATGTTCTGGTGTTTGGGTTATGTATATGTATATAACCCATGGTAAAGCTAAAAAAGCTTGCCTAGTGTGTGAGATGGCAGATTTTGTCTCCAGGACTGCCAAAGAATAAGAGCATTGTTTTTTATTCCCTCTAATAACAATCTGGCATTAAGTTATTTGCATTTGTGAAGTTCTCAGTTTGCTAGTATGTTTGACCTATCAGCCATTAGTTTTTCATATAATCGTAAAAAAAATTGCCGCGCAGCCTTTAATCCCAGCCCTCGGGAAGCAGAGACAGGTGGATCTCTGTGAGTTCAAAATCAGCCTGGTCTACAGAGCAAGTTCCAGGCCAGCCTCCAAAACAATACAGAGAAACCCTGTCTCAAAGAAAAAAAAAACCGGTTAAAGATCCAGAACCAGTGGTGTTTTAAAAAGAGGTAAAATTGTGCCATCTTGTCATCCAAGAGCTTTGACTCTTAAGCCTTAAACCCACTCCTGATTTACACATCACATTGCTAATTTCTTAATCCAGAGGCCATTGCCATAGCATACCTAGTTGATACATGCCATGTAGCCAGCAGAAACAGCAAGTGTTATTTCACATAGGTTGGAGGAATTGGTTAGTAAGACTCTCCTCGTGGAGCCCTTAATGCAGTCCTTTAAAAAAATGAGGAGGTGTTTGTCTGAAAAGGACCAGCAAGTGAGGCTTGCTAATCTTAGAGTTAATCATATGTTAAAGAGAGTTCTATTCACTGCATATGCCTTTAATAGATGAAACCAGGGCTGCATCTGCTAAGTATGCAAAGTGAAGGTCCTTTCTACCCATCCGACATTCTTGTTTTTCAGACAGTGTATCCCAGGCTGGCCTCAGACTCAGAACTGCCTGCCTCTGCCTCCTGAGTGCTAGGATTAAAGGGTGCACCGCTGTGCCTGGTGATTCTGGCATATGCAGTTAATACCTTAAGGAGAGGTGGAGGTCCAGACTTGGGGCCATGTCTTAGAGGGAAGATATGCAGGGACTCAGATAGGCAAACAATCCCCAGGGATCATTTTATACATTTGAATTCACTGAAGCTTAGGTTTTCTTTTAATGGTGAATGACATAAATGAGTTTGAGTTGTATAGTTACTTTCAATAAAAGTGTGTGTGCTTGTGTGGCTGGAAGTGATGGCCCACATTTAATCCCAGCACTGGAAGCAGAGGCAGGGAGATGTCTGAGTTTGAGGCCAAAGAGCTTTAGGCCAGCCAGTCAGGACTACACGAGGAGACCTTGTCTTCAAACAAAATAACTGTGTATGGTTTTAATGCTTAAAGTGTTGGACTTGGTATACCACATAGTGAGGTAGCTGTACTTAAGATCCAAAATATACAAAGTGAATAGTTAACTCAGTGACATAAGCTAAAAAGTCTCTGGATTTCTAGAACACGGAATAGAATGACATGTGTATTCGTTTGTTGCTCTTCTGTGGTGATCATATAGCTTGTTATGTGAGAAATCATTTTCAGCATGAGGTATACTTTTCTAGTTGCAGAGAATTCTCTTTAGCCCATTCCTCTCCTCAATGGCAGGTGCTGCCTGCTTGTCTTAAAACTGAGAGTTGGAAAGCTACAGGCAGTCTGCTGTGTGGTTAAAACTATGGTCAGAAATGGGGGCAGTCTCAAATCCGAACTTAGTCATTAAATAAGGTTTTTCTTCTTAAGGCAATAAAATGGAAAGAGAGATAGAGTTGCTTTGCTGTATAGTGAATTTCCAGCCTATGAAAAAAAGAGCAGGGGTTTAAAAACATTGTCTTGGGTTAGATCAGCACTATAGTCGAAACCTTTTCTCTGTGCTGGCATCCCTTTTCTACAAAATACATTAAAAACTGCTTTGTTTTTACTAGTTTCTTGAATTTGCTATTGTACAATGACAATATTATTTTCCATGTTTATATGCTCTTAATAAGAGTTAAGGTTCTTTGGCAAAGGCAGTTATTTTATAGAATTTAATTGGAAATTTTCTTCCTTTCTTTTCTCTATATTCTTAAGGGAGCTTGTTCACAATATTCTGTACCTTATGAATTGTTTTATAATTCATTTTATTGAGGAGATTAATATGTTCAGTTAAATGAATTGATATGATACAAGATATATTAGCCAAGATAATCATTACTTTATTGTCTTTTAAAATTGGGAATTAAGCAAAACATGTTAATATATATATTGGACTCTTTGGAAGGAGAGAGGGTCCAGTGACTAGCTAATGTTACTAGATTGAGCACAAAGCAAGCGAAATTGTGTTAGGAGGAAATTTAGTTAATTGATGACAGCATTTTTAGTGCTTTGTCTTTGTAAGAATAGGAATCCAACCCCTCTCCCCCTTTTTTTCTTCCATATTTAGGTATGGTAGGTATAAAGAACTTAAGCTATCCCTGTATTCATTGGGTACTCTTACTGACTTGTTACATAGAGATAAAGTGTTGAAGGCAGCAATATGTTAACATATTAGCATGAGTTTAATCTACCTGATAATTTTTAATGATAAAACAGTAGTAAGGTAGAACTATATCATCGTGGGCTTTTGTAAGTCTAATAATGGAAACTACTTTAATGTAAAGTACCGTGTGCGTGCAGGTGATTGAAGAGTTAGATACATCCATGTGTATATTATATATGTATTCATATGGTATTGTTAAGATCGCATCTTTCTACATAGAAAAGTTGAGTCTCCCACATAAGAATTTTAATGATAGATAAAAAATGAGCACTGAGGCCAGGCGTTGGCGGCGCACACCTTTAATCCCAGCACTCGGGAGGCAGAGGCAGGAGGATCTCTGTGAGTTCGAGGCCAGCCTGGTCTACAAAGCCCCAGGACAGTCTCCAAAACAATACAGAGAAACCCTGTCTCGAAAAAACAACAACAACAACAAAAAAAATGAGCACTGAGTAGGTTACATTAGTCAGGAAATTTAAATATTAAAGGGCATGTAGCCCTATAAGAGGTGTTTCACTAGGAAAATGGAATCAGATTTTTGGGAAGTAAAGGAATTTAAGATATCTGAGAATGGTCTAGAAAGTTAGTTCATCAAATGACATGTTGATCTTGGCCTTGCCTAAGGTGTTAAACCTTTGAAGGCCATCTGCTACTACTATATTTTGATCAGAAGCCAACTTTTGTTCCTAAAATAAAAATTTAATGGTGCGTATATATTACTATAAACCCTAGCCAAGATGATTGATTCAACATGTGTCTGGTTAAGCAAGTGATGCTTAGCATTCTAGGAAATTAAGATTACTTAAGGTTTCTTTCTCAGCTAATGGGATTTGTTTGTTTATTACCATGACCGCATGTCCCTTTAAAGGAATAAAAGTTTACTATTTAGCTCATGTCTTTTCTTAAATTTAGACTATATAACTTAACCATCCTCTGTCTTGATTTAGGAACTTAGTGATTTGGCCCGTGACCCTCCAGCACAATGTTCTGCAGGTCCAGTTGGAGATGACAGTAAGTAACTTGATTTTCTTTTTAATCTAACTTCAGAAAAGGTTGTATGTTTTGGGGATAATGAGGTTTTTGTTTTGTTTTTCCTCCTCCTCTTTCTAGTGTTTCATTGGCAAGCCACAATTATGGGACCTGTAAGTACTATTTTTCAATTTTGCTTTTCACTGAAAATCAGCATTCACTTTATCACAGTTTTATTTTAGACTTTTGGCCTTGGTAAATTAGAGTTATTATATTTCTGATATATCATCGTTAACACTGTTTTTAAAAAATAAAAATTCCTTAAATGCATATACTGTGATTATATTCTACAGTACCATCTCTGAACCCACCAAATGTATTGTATTGTCTTTGTCTTGGTTTTCTGTATGACAGTGAAAAGCAGTCATTGAGCTTCCCGTTAAGGGACATTTTTATTCTACCGTGAGTTCTTTGGAGCTCTGAAACTGCCAAAAAATCTAGCTCAATTTTATTTTGATATGCTCAGTCAAGCACACACATAAGGGGCGGGGGCTGCACTTTAAGGTCTCTTACATGTGTATCTCACTGAGTTTTTCTTTTTTTGGCAGTAATGTAAATACATTACTGTGTACAATACTGTACTGGGTAGCAATACATGAAGACTTAGCTAGCTTTGAATGCTTAGACATAACTTAGGCTCATTTCTGGCTATCTTTTAACCTATTTTCTTTTTTCTCTACCTTTTTCTTCTGGGCCTTTTACCTTTTGGTTCTATATATCTTTCTTTTCTTATTTCCCATGTCTGACTGACTGCTACCTGGCTTCTTGCCCTGGGTGTGTCCCTCATTCTTCCTCCTCCTCTCATTCCTTTGGAGCCTAGATTTCTCTCCTGTTCTCTCTGTCCAACAGCCCTGCCTGCTTATTCTTTTTCTGCCTTGCTATTACTGTTTAGCTTTTTATTAGACCTGTCGGGTGCCTTAGGCAGGCAAAGTGAAACAGCAACCCTTACCATATCTTTACACAGTTAAAGTAATGTTCTGCAGTATAAACAAGTGTAAAGCATCTTTGCTCAGTTAAAATAATGTCACAAAAGTAGGCACACATTGATAATTCTAAAAGAGAAAATTTCTTTGAAAGAATTTCACCTAGTAATAGATGGGTTAGACCAGCAGTACTTACCAGGTTTATTTACTTTTGGGGGTGGGGGGGAGGTCTGAGACAGGGTTTCTCTGGCTTTGGAGGCTGTCCTGGAACTACTCTCGTAGACCAGGCTGGTCTTGAACTCACAGAGATCTGCCTGCTTCTGCCTCCCTAGTGCTGGGATTAAAGGCGTACGCCGCCGCCACCACCCAGTTTGAGAGTTATACTCTTAATGACACTGTACTGTAGAGAATAATACTTAAAGGCTATAGTAAATTAAAAGCAGAGCATACATGGTGGTATCTCTTTAAAAGTTCATTTTGATATTAGAGTATAGGAATAAACTAGAAGGTAAAGCTAGAGTGAAAGGAAGCTATATTCATTAATAATATGTAGGCAAAAGATAGTAACACTTTGAGATAAAACCTCTGCAATAGCCAGAAAAGATGTGGCTAATTCAAGAAATTTTTAAGTTCTTTGGTGAAAGAATTTCACTCTACTGTGTAACTGAGGCTGGCCTAAAACTTAACCACCTCATATCTCAAGCTGCTTTCAAACTTAGCAACCCTCCTGCCTCAGCCTTCCAAGTATGGAAATGACAGGCATAAGCCACTATATCTGACAATCAAGTTATTTAAGACTAAATGAAGTGAGTGTAAGAATTATCTATGAGATCCTGGTTTTCTACTGTCTTGTGGTTTAGGAAGAAGGGGATTGAGGTTTAGAATGCATGTCATGAAATAGATAAATGTAGGCCGGGTGTTGGTGGCGCACGCCTTTAATCCCAGCACTCGGGAGGCAGAGGCAGGCGGATCTCTGAGTTCGAGGCCAGCCTGGTCTACAGAGCGAGTTCCAGGACAGCCTCCAAAGCCACAGAGAAACCCTGTCTCGAAACCCCCCCCCCCCAAAAAAAGAAATAGATAAATGTATATAGCAGGCTTGAAAATGTATCCAGGAGTGAATGAACACACTATAGAAGAAAACAGACTGTAGTAATAACATGTGAGTTCAGAGGTTAGAAACAGAAAATGGATCTTTAGACACATGCAAAATTTCACGAATATTGTAGAGAACAAATACTTGGGGAGCAAAAGAAACAATGTTAATTCTCAATTTCAAAGGTTGAAGTCAGTCTCAAAAGACTTCATTATTTTTTGTTCCTTTGATTTGGGTTTTGTCTTGATAGGAATTTTAATGTGTATCGTTGAAATACTTTAACCCCTTAGAAATTTTGTTTTGTTGTTGTTGTTTCTGTTCTAATTGGCTTTCTGAATTTTAGTGGGGATCTTTTTATTAGATTAATTTATATTCAACATATTGTGTGAGTGTGCACATACATGTAGGCGTCTATGTGAAAGTTAGAGAACAGCCTGTAGAAGTCAGTGCTCTCTTTAACCATTCCTTCCATGTTTTGAATTCGGCATCTGGTGTGGTAGGCAACCTTAATCAACTGAGCCATCTCACCCACCTGTCACATTTTGGGTACCTTAATTCTTCTATGCAGTTTTGTGTTTTGCTGTCTTGGGTGGGCAGGCTTGTTTTTGTTTTTGTTTTTGTTTTTGTTTTTTTTCTGTTTTTGGTGAGCATTTTGCAGAGAGCACTAGTGGCATCTATCTATAATGCCTGTACTTGTGAAGGATAAGCCAGGTGAACCTGGGGTAGCAAGGTCTTGTGAGAAAACATAGTATTATAAGGGCTGGGAGTAGCGTGGGGATAGAATGACTGCCTGCTTAGCATGGATAAAGCCTTTTGCCTACTTTGTGTGTGTGTCTGTGGTGTTTTTGGTTTTTACGAGACAGGGTTTCTCTGTATTGTTTTGGAGGCTATCAGTCCAGCCTGGCCTCGAACTCACAGAGATCAGCCTGTCTCTGCCTCCTGAGTGCTGGGATTAAAGGTGTGTACCACACCAATGCCTGGTGCACTTTTAAGTCTGTGTAAATTAGGTTCGTTACTTTATAGTCAACTGTGTTTCTCCATTAGTATGAACTGAATTGGAGGGTACAATAATTTCCGTTTCTTCATTGCAATGTTGTAAACAATAGGTGATTTTGGTTCGTTAACAAAAATGGACTTTTTAAAAAGGAATTATCTTGACATACTAAGCTTATTTTTCTCTTCACAGAATGACAGCCCATATCAAGGTGGTGTATTCTTTTTGACAATTCATTTTCCTACAGACTACCCCTTCAAACCACCTAAGGCAAGTATTGCCCTCAGAAATGTTAGTCTGTGGCTTGTTTCAAAAGAATAGAGTGTTTAGAAATTTCAGTTTCTATGTAATTGAGGATTTGTATATTGTTGAATAAAAGTAACATCGAGTTAAGCTGCATTTACATAATGACTCCTGTTAGACTATTCTGGAATTTTCCTATCCACTTTTCAAGGGCTAAGCTTAAGAATGTGCTGCCATACTAAGCTATTACTGATTCTTCTAATTAAGAATTAGACAGAGATTTGAATTCTGTAAATATAGGTAGATTCTCTTTTTGAAGTTGCAAGGCTCAAGTGTTTCTATGCTTAAGTGGAGTGTTGGAATCCAGTAAATTATAGAATCAATTTGCCTACAGTTGCTTACTTAGGTGACTAGTTTGTAGTATTAAAACACCTGTGGTCCTGGTACTCTGTAGCCTGAAGCAGGAGAGAGTTAATGAGTTCAGAGCATATAGTCATCAACTTTTCAGAACTAGAAAATAATTTGCATTAAACTACGTTTTTCTAGCCATCTTTAGTCATATTAAAGGTGCAACATAATATATAGTTCCCTTTGAGTATAAAGCTTTCACTCTTTAATTTGTTATATCTGTATTGGAAATACAATATGTACCTTTATAGTACCCAGAGTTAACCTTCAGATCTAAGTTAATGACCCTACCAACACCCCATCCCACCCTCTGTTTAGGCTGGCTTTTTAAAATTTGCTCTTATTAATCTAAAGTAATTGGTTTTGTTAAGAGATTTTTTTCATTTATGCATCTAACATACTTTGATTGCATTCTTCCCTACCCTTATGTCTCTCATCACTACTTCCACTGGTGTGACTTAGAATTTTTAAAAATTTGAAGTACTCGTTTTATTTGGAAAAGCTATCTAAAGGTTGTACTGTGTGTTTTGTGTTTTAGGTTGCATTTACAACAAGAATTTATCATCCAAATATTAACAGTAATGGCAGCATTTGTCTTGATATTCTAAGATCACAGTGGTCTCCTGCTTTAACTATTTCTAAAGGTAAAATAATAGTTTCACTGGAGTAGTTTTCAACTATTCTGGTGTTCTAACAGTTAAGGGTGCCTTGAATCTGCTTGGAAATAAATATTTTCTTGTGCCAACATTCTAATAAAACGTCACTTGCAGGGCTGGGGATATAGCTTTAGTTTGTATAGAGCACTTGCCTCAAATGCACAAAGCTCAGTGCTTCAAACCAGGTGTGACACAAGCCTAAACAATAGTGCTTGGGGGGGACGGGACGGACTATGAAATCAAAGGTCATCTTTGGCCGCATGGAATTTGAGACCAAACTGGGTAGAGTATCTTCTAATTTGCGCATAATAGCAGAGTATTAATGTAGCATATAGAAGCCAGAGGTATCGTCTCTTTTCTACTTTGATTTCATTGAGACAGGTTCTGGCATTCAACCAGAAGTTCACAGTAACTCAATGTCTACCTGTCTCCACCCACTGATGCTGGGGTACAAGCGTACAGAATTGGCTATTTTCAGCTTTTTACATGAAACCTGGGAATTTGAAATCAGGTCTTCGTGCTTGTTCATCCAGCACTCTTGCCTACTTAGCAATTGCCTCAGTCCTCAATTTTAACAAAGTTTGTTCTTCTATTACTAAACTATTTAATCGTGAGGGTGTGGTGGTGATGTGCACATGAGTAAGGAAGAGCATGCCAGGTCTGAGTAGCTATAGTTAACAGGCAGTTGTGAGACACCAAACCCAAACCGTCTTCCATAAGGATATTGTGTGTTCTTAATATCTTAGCAAGGATGGGAGAATATAGCCATACTTGATACAGCTTTTTAAATCTTTAAAGCTTTCTACTCTGGTAAACATCAGGTGTAGATTTTCTGTATCTGTTCTTGAACATACCTTTAATTGGCTGTTGCTTAACTGTGATAGTTTGCTTTGTGTCTAATGATGATTATAAGTAAGGTATTTGGGGAAGATAGCTATATGAAGTCCGATCCACTTGAAATCAAAGTATGTTATGCCTAACAAGTTCTCAGATTTCCGGGCATATGCCTCAAATGTATATAATTCTTCTTCAGCTGCTGGCTTTAAAATGACAAGTGGTTTTTGACATCCCACTCTGCAAATTAAATTTTACACAAAAATGTTGTAATGATAAGACTCTGCCTTTTAGTAATTTACAGGCTTAATATTTCTTATGATAGAGTCAAGTTTTTAATGCTAGAATTACAATTTAATGTTAGCACCTTTTTATTAACCATTAATATTTTCAGACTCCGTGCTGAAATTCAACATTCCTAAAACTTGGAATAATGTTTGTTTTTACCAAAATGTGTTGTGTGAGTAAATGGAGAATGAAGCAGGTATGTTTTTTACAGGCAGCTCATCACACAGACATTTCTTTATATGCTTATTAAAATGCATTTGACTCTAGAGGGATTTTTATTTTTTGTTTGGTTTTGGTTTTTTGAGACAGGGTTTCTCTGTGTAACATCTATGACTGTTCTAGAACTCACGTTGTAGACCAGACTGGCTTCAAACTCAGAGATCTGCCCAGAGTATTTGTTTTCCTTTTAGACTTTATTTTTTAACCTAAAATTTAAATCTCTTTTCAAGTAGTGTTTCTCTCATAATCTGAATAACCAGTTTCCTGTTTTGTTTTTCCTGCTGGGGTGTACCATAATTCTGAATTTTATTTCTTCAAATGCAAACTGAGTTGATAAGTATTTTGTTTTTAAAGGTTACTTGGTTGTTTGACATTAACGAGTAAGAATTAGAAACTGACCTCTGAGCTACTGTATTTTATAGTTTTTTTTTATGGCCATTCATTTGAATTGAATTTGGGATTTTTCTGCTGTTACCATATGTATATTTGGCTTATGTGACAGTTAACTGTCTTCTTAAGCTGTTTGATTTTTTTTTTATCCAGTGGTTGTTTGAACCACTTCCTAAGTCTGTAGAACAGACCAGATTGAGTTAGAACTGAAGGCTCCCTTATACTTCAGAAATTTTCACCAGTCTCTATAGTTTTGTATTCCCTCAAAGTACCAAGAAAACCCTTAAATACTGACTCCTCTTACATAGGTCGATTTTATTTTATATTTTTAACTATTACCTTGAAAATAAAAACTTATTTGGCCTAATCATTACTGACTTTGGTGCCTACAGAGTTTTCATTTCTTTTTTTTCTTTTTTTTCTTTTTTTCTTTTTTTTTTTTTGGTTTTTCGAGACAGGGTTTCTCTGTAGCTTTGGAGGCTGTCCTGGAACTCACTTTGTAGACCAGGCTGGCCTCAAACTCGCAGAGATCCGCCTGCCTCTGCCTCCCAAGTGCTAGGATTAAAGGCGTGCGCCACCAACGCCCGGCCAGAGTTTTCATTTCTGATAGTTCTGTTTATACAAACTTGTAGAACTCTATTGTCTTGACATTGAGCAGACTAAGAACTTGAGGTTTTGAGTAAGTTTTTAACATTTGTTTGTCCATACTCCTGAAACTGCATAACTTTTTTTTTGTAGTTCTTTTATCCATTTGTTCACTGCTATGTGATCCAAACCCAGATGACCCCCTAGTGCCAGAGATTGCACGGATCTATAAAACAGACAGAGATAAGTAAGTATGAATTTGTTTAATGACTGTAAACGGTGGTTTTACTTAACAAGTTGGACTTATTTCTGCTGGAATTTGTGAGAGGACATTTTTATGTTTGTTTCTGGTGATGTAGTTACTAAAACACAATTAAGAAAAACAGTAAGGACCAGTGTAATGGCAAAGGCTGGAGTATTTAGAAATTTGAAGCTAGCTTGGGCTGTCTGAGACCCTACCAAATAAGTGGTTTTAGCATATATGACCGTGAGTAGCTCCTTTTAAATATTACTTTTGAACACTTGGATAATTACCGAGTTTAGGGTAATAAAGCACCTTTTCAATGTTTCTCAAAAAAAAAGTATTAATGTAAAATTTTTGGTCTAAATCTGTCAAATATTTGAATTATCTTTATGTTCAGCTTAACCATTTAACTTTTGTATGTAATAATTAATGCTAAGTGTGCTTGTTCAATTAGGTACAATAGGTTAGCAAGAGAGTGGACAGAGAAATACGCTATGTTGTAGGGTAAGAGGATCTGCACTCTATGGTGCGCTTATTTATGGTACTGCCAGCACTTGAGTGCTGCATGCTTTAAAGCACTGGATTAACTAACCGAAGGTAACAGACATGGCAGCTTTCTGAAAACTTTTTTAACAGCTTGATCTGTTAGTGTGGAAGTATATACTCAGTCTTCATGTTATTCTTGCATGACAAAGCAGTTATATAGCTTTAGTAAGACATAGAAATGTAAGAGTATCTTTATCCTTTATTAGATTACCATGGTGTTTATAGACTTGGTGTCAGTACTATGGAATGTGTGGTTTTTCTCAGATTTTTCCAGGAAGGTGGTAGTAATAGAAGAGAAAACTCTTAAACCTCAGCATCCAAACTAAAAGTTCATTACTGACAAGCATGAATTAATGTTAGCTATATTTTGTGGCTCTTTTTGTATACTAAATTGTTTGTTTTTAAAGTGCTGGCTGTTTGAAGAGGGTTTTCTAAATAATATAACTCTGAATTGCTAGAAAAGTTTTTTATATGTTGAGCTGTAGTATATTCTTGGTTTGAGATAAAACTAGTAATATTAAGTTTTCCATTGCCCTTTGTTATATACTCACTTCTTAAGCTTTTGTCACTTTTTTTTGTTGTTGGTAAATAGCCTGTATGATGAGTGTATTGTAGGGGAGAAATGATTTCAGTATTGGTGATCTTCAACAATAACCTAGCTCATTGATGTTGATCTTTTTGAACAAAAATGTGGTTGCACTACTAGAGAGTCCGTTCTTCTACAGGTTTTAGTGGGGATTAACAGCAGTCACTACTCTGCCTTTATTTAAGATAACAACCACTGAAGCCTACTCCTTGCAAAGTACTGGTTTTATCACCCTTTCCAATGTGTTTTCAAGTTTCAAAGACATTTTCTTTCAATACCCAACTAACTTCTCAATTTAGGTTTCAGATTCATTTTGCAGTAACAGTGTATGCATAGTTCTGACATTGGCCAAAATTTCTATTGATATGCAATATGTATATCCATAATCTGACAGTAGTACACTAGTATTTTTTAATGTAAAAATTTGTCAGCATGTGCAACCAACTTAAAAGTTTGATAGAATACTGTCTCATTGATGGGGAGGTCCCTGTTAAGCCAATCTCAGCCCTGCTTTTATTATTAAGAGAACACTAATGTCTGTTGTCTCCCACACTGCTTTGAATTCTGCCACTTTTATTTCTGTCTCTTGACTTCTACAATTAGCCATTTCAGGTGTCACGATAAATCACAGGTAACATAGAAATATTTGTCTTTACAATATTAATAAGTCTTTGTTTGAATTTTATTTTTTAAATAGCTTATTTGTTTATTTACAGGTACAACAGAATATCTCGGGAATGGACTCAGAAGTATGCCATGTGATGCTACCTTAAAGTCAGAATAACCTGCATTATAGCTGGAATAAACTTTAAATTACTGTTCCTTTTTTGATTTTCTTATCCGGCTGCTCCCCTATCAGACCTCATCTTTTTTAATTTTATTTTTTGTTTACCTCCCTCCATTCATTCACATGCTCATCTGAGAAGACTTAAGTTCTTCCAGCTTTGGACAATAACTGCTTTTAGAAACTGTAAAGTAGTTAACAAGAGAACAGTTGCCCAAGATTCAGAAATTTTTTTAAAACTGGAGCATGTGTATTATGTGGCCAATGTCTTCACTCTAACTTGGTTATGAGACTAAACCAATCCTCACTGCTCTAACATGCTGAAGAAACCATCTGAGGGGGAGGGAGATGGATGCTCACTGTCACATCAAAGGAAGCAGCATTATTCTAGCGCATCCATTCTTGTTTAAGCCTTCCACTGTTAGAGATTTGAGGTTACATGATATACTTTATGCTCATAACTGATGTGGCTGGAGAATTGGTATTGAATTATAGCATCAGCAGAACAGAAAATGTGATGTATTTTATGCATGTCAATAAAGGAATGACCTGTTCTTGTTCTACAGAGAATGGAAATTGGAAGTCAAACACCCTTTGTATTCCAAAATAGGGTCTCAAAAACATTTTGTAATTTTCATTTAAATTGTTAGGAGGCTTGGAGCTATTAGTTAATCTATCTTCCAATACTGTTTAATATAGCACTGAATAAATGATGCGAGTTGTCAATGGATGAGTGATCAACTAATAGCTCTCCTAGTAATTGATTTATTTTTCTTCAATAAAGTTGCATAAACCAATGAGTTAGCTGCCTGGATTAATCAGTATGGGAAACAATCCTTTGTAAATGCAAAGCTGTTTTTGTATATACTGTTGGGATTTGCTTCATTGTTTGACATCAAATGATGATGTAAAGTTCAAAAGAGTGAATATATTGCCATGTTCAGTTAAGTGCACAGTCTGTTACAGGTTGACACATTGCTTGACCTGATTTATGCAGAATTATAAGCTATTCAAATAGTGTAGCTTTAATGTGCTGCACATAATTCTGGCAGCCCTAGAGTTCATAAATGGACTTGGGACTCAGCAGTTTTGAAACGTGTATATGGAGTTTAAGAAATTTATTTTCCAGGTGCATCCCCTTCTAACTAAAATTTCTTCATCTTGTACACTTAACAGCTGAAATATATATATAAAACTTGGGAGTAATAATGGGTCAAAATTTACAAAATAAAGTACTGTTTTGGTGTGGGAGTTGTCATGAGGCTGTGTTGAAGTGACTTAACTGTGGGATATTGACTATCCATTGAGTGGATTTGTTCAGCCATTTACATTAATGAGCATTTAATTGCAACAGATACCATTTCAGGTGACTTACGTGAATGAATAAAAGTCAATACTATTGGATTGTTTGTTTGACAAGTGCTATCTGTGCCACTAAATCTATAGTAATAAGGGCATTACCACTCTTCACCCTAATTCTGAACCTGTAGTTTCACTTTTTTTCTAGCTTTGATTTATCCATTGCTTTATTTCTTGAGTCTTGTATTTGATTTCTAGCACATGTGATGTCTCCACTTCCACATTTTTGCACTGCTTATACTTACATGCAATCTTATTCCTTGTCTGCACACAGATGTGGAAAGCTAGAAATAAATGTAAAAGCTTAATTTTTTATAAACATTTAAATGTAATTTGGACATGGTTTGTTGACTTAAGGTTCTTTAAACTGGAAGTGAAGTGCATGCCTTCTGAAGATGTTCTGGCTTTATTCTGTAAGAAGTATTTACATTGGGAAAGAACCGATTCAGTTATTCACTTTTTCCAATGAGCCCCCCATCCCCAATTTTACCTTTTGTTTAAAGTGTGTGTGTTCTTCGGGGGTGTAGGTGTCAGGCTAATTAAAACTTTTGGATTCAAATCGTGAAAGTGTCCCACAAGGTTAACTCTGGCTCTGTTACAAAATGATCCTTTCTTGAGACTCTTGTACTCCAACAGCTTTAGTAGGCCAAATAGATAAGACATTTTTATAAATCAGGGAAAGCAGTGGGTCCCTGATGGGCTTTCTTGGTATTTACAGAAATGACATCCATAAACTGATTGTCAACTAATGGGTATGTCCAGTTCTATCTTTGACTTGATGCTTTATACAACATTTCATATGTCGCTTCTAAGGGAATAAGCCATAGAGGCTTCTCCAGGTTTAAGAGAACAGAGTACCTGGAAAACCAACATTCTGAATGTATGGACACTGGACTTAGGATCACCCATGATGAGATTTTCTAAAGAATCCAAGAGTTTGCTCTCTACCCAGTAGTGTGTGGCATCACTAGTGCCAGGTCTAGGACTAAAGGGTATTAGGTTGAATATTGGCGTAGACTATTTGTCCTATACCTTTTAATGCATACATTTTTAAGAATTTAAGTTTGTCTTTGGAGTCCAGTTGGCCTGTTAACTGGTAAATTTTGTTTTGACATTTTTCTTGGGCAGGTTTGCAATGTGATAATCAGATTTTTTTTTAAACTGATTAGTTTGTTTCCTTGTGTGGGTGTACTCACATTTAAAAGTATGAACCACAGTTAACTAGTGGTCTCAGGGGTAGTGAAACACTCACTTTTTATTTTAATGGGTTAGTTGAAGTATACTTAAGACACTGATCATGCTATGTTCGTGATTTTTGGGGGGTGGGGAGTACTAAAATTAGTCATGTTTTGTGTTGACATAACAAAACTGTTGAATGACTGTTGGTTACACTTTTAAGTGAATTTGTCTTCTATTTTATGAGGAACCCAGTGCAAGTCACTAAATGTTGTCTAATAGTGACATCTGCATAAGACTTGTAATAGCTAAAGTTAATTGAGCTTAAAGGAATTGTTACCATTAAAGTCTGTGTTTAAACACACCTTGGTCTTACTCAGTAATTCCAGCTAACATGGAGTCCACACTTGAATTTAATATTGTATGAGCTTGAGTTTTGAACACATACTGAAGCAGCCATTATAAAGAAACTGGTGTAGGAAGGATTGGTATGGTGATTTTCAAAGTGATTCAGAACCAGTCATTTGGCATGTTTTAAAATATAGGCCGATGGGTCCTTCCCTCTCCCCCCATGTGAAGTCAATGTTTTGTGAAGACCAAAAGATTCAAAGATGCCCGAAAATTACCTGTGACAAGCTATATAGATAACTTGACAGCTATAGAGGACTTGTTAATTCCTAATTGACTATTATCTGGCTCCTCACAGTCAAAACATTTGATTTTAGGGGTTAATTGGACTGTAAAGCAGATTGAGAAAATAAAGGGAGTGTAGTGTTTCTTAGACAAGGAAAATGGAAATCTGGCCACTACTTGAACTATTTCTTGCTATTTGGACCTTAACCTTATTAGAGTATTTAAAGGTTGATTCGGACACAGTTTCTGCTAGTTTTTTATGCAATCTTCAATTTTTTTCATTTCTAATTTACAATAACCAAATTGGGTTGTGCCACATAAGCTCCTATAGAGTGTTGCGAGTTCTCTGGAGACGTCCCTGCCTCTTAGCCTCAAAAGACTTGTGTACTGACCCGCAACAAACAACTTCTTCCTTTCTAGCCAAAATGATTCATCGAGGTTCTGCCATTAACTATTCTGCAAGCACCATCATATGAAGTGCTTATAAATTTTGGATTATTGCAGTTAATCTCAACATGCAGCAACCCATCCCATGCGCAATTTTGACCAAAAGATTTTAGAAGTATGGAGGCAGTCTCGCTATGTAGCCTGGAATTCACTTATGTAGATCAGACTGGCCTTGAGTTCAAGACATGCCTGCCTCTCAGGGTTATGTACCACCACCATGCTCATCAGCCTGGTTTTCAATCTGAGTAAAAGCCAGTCTGTAGTGTCACGTGGTTTTTTCCTTTATTCAACCTGTGCCTTTGCTCCACCTCCATTACAATTCTCATTTACCCAGGTGCTTGCAGGCACATGGCTATAATGGGTTTCCTCCATGGTGTAGATAGTTGTACACCATACTGTGTGACTTCATCCCCATATATCTCTGATGCCACTTAGAATGACATTTCTTGAGCATTTTATTTTATACAATATATCGACTAGAGTGCATATTGCAGCTATCACTTTTTTGTATGTAATACATACTTAATACTCTGGTTTGGTTCTGCCCTGGATTGTAAGCTCCATGAGGGCAGGTTTTATCTTACTCTTGTATTGAATTTAGATAACTGGCGTTTTGTAGGTACTTGTTTAACAAACAGTTGCATTTGTGGTTGTGGTCTTTTGAAACTTCTAGCCACTACACTATAGTATTGAGAAAACCGATTTGTAACATTCATAGAACAGTGCTTGTGTTCACCCCAAAATTTAATTCTTGGTATTTACAAATCAAACATCTTAATATCATTTTTAATGTTCTTGGAAGATGAGTCATATTGAAGTGGGTTGCTTATTTTACATAAGTAGATTTTGAGTACTGCGATTACATCTCCAGTGTTTAATTATTAGAGTTGAGTTGAAATTTTTAATTTTTCAAATCATCAGTGATGAGAATATCGCCCATAAATACAAAATAAAAATAGCTTAAGTATATTTAGAATCATCTCATAACTTGCTGGAAGTTTTGCCCTACTCTCAAGCCAAATTTTCCCTAAGTTTTTAAATTAGCAAGTAAATGCAATTAGTAAAAGCCAAACATTCCAACTCAATATTAGAGCAAACTGACTTGATGCTTACGTTCTGAGCCGTGGTAGGAAAATGCTGAGTTTCTGTTTCTATGAGATGGAGGTCATCTAGGTAACGTTGCCGAAGTTGATCTGAAACTTGCAGTGATTTTCTTGCCTCTGCTTCCTGAGTGCTGGGATTACAGGCATGCAAACATACTAGTGTGCCAAACTAAAATTAGATTGTGTAAGTGAAAAACTATGGTAGATAAAATGTACAACAAAAGCATCATTGCTGGTTGTGACCCACTGCTATGTTCCTGAGAACCAATGTGAAGTATGACGTGAATCAGCAGAGCACTGCTAAAAATACCTGGGTTCCTATAGGCTTGGCCCTGGATTGCACGTTTTTACTTGCTGCATTTTCGTAAATGTTCACTGTTGTGATCTTGTTTGTGGTTCTCATATTTGTTTATCATATGGGCTTGTGGTTCACTTTAAGAGCCTCAGTTCCAGAATACTGTAGATGAAGTCAGGGCAAACTACATTTTATTAGTATGAATGATTACAAACTGAACAATTCTGCAAAACCTTTTTGGGAAGAATTTTGAAATGTCATCTCATTAAAAGTCAACTGGGCACACTTGTTGAGCAGTTGGGAGACTGGGGGTGGGGCATATCACAAATTGGAAGCCAGTTTTGTTTACATAGTAAGACCCCATGGTGCATGGGAAGCATTCTCAAGCCAAAACCAAACAAACAGGAAACCTATCAAGAGGCTAGTTGCTTGAGCTCCTTCAAGTCCCAGGTAAGTATTAATTTTCATGGTCTTGACACTCAAGTGTTGTCTGTAAACTCATTCTTGATAGAATTAGGAGTCCATTACCTTCAACTTTGCTCAAAACTCCCAAGACAAGAATTTGAAATAAGGTTTAGGTGAAGATTTGTAGCCAAAATAAGTGATCTGAGAAAATCCAGAGTATTTAAAGTGGTTTGAAATCAGCGGAACATACGAAAATAAGAGTACCTTGCAGGAATTGGGTACCCCCAGACTGAAAATAAGAGTAGCCTATTAGTTTGAAAAGTTTTTCATGTTTTTTTTAAGATGTATTTATTTGTTATGTATACAGTATTCTGTCTGCATGTATGTCCACAGGCCAGAATAGGGCACCAGATCTCATTACAGATGGTTATGAGCCACCATGTGGTTGCTGGGAATTGAACTCAGGACCTCTGGAAGAGCAATCAGTGCTCTTAACCTCTGAACCATCTCTCCAAACCATTTTTGCACATTTCTAATATTAAAGGTACCACCAGTCGTGTGGTGGTGGCACAGGCCTTTAATCCCAACACTCAGAGGTAGGCGCATCTCTGTGAGTTCAAGGCCAGCCTGGTCTTCAGAGCTAGTTCCAGGACAAGCTCCAAAGCTACACAGAGAAACCCTGTCTTGAAAAACAAAAAAATAAAATAAACGAAACAACAAAAACACCACCAGGCTGGAGAGGTTGCTCAGCAGTTAAAAGCAACCACACCTGGCCAGTTCACAACAAGCTTTTATCTGAGCAGGTGTGTCATATACAGCTACACCCGCAGACATGTTTTTTAATCTCAAATGGGAGGAGGTTAACTTCGGAAGTGAAATATATGTGGGAACACCTAGAGAGTTCACACACAAACCATTTAAAGCCGTTACAGGTCAAAAAGCCAGAGTTCTATAACAAAAATGAATTAGTAGAAAGTATTGGCTTT